CCCCATAAACAAATAACCTCCCAAATCGAGGTCACAACCTTCTCCAAGGACAAGTAATTTTGGCCCATCCGGAAATCACGTATTTGACAAAGGTCAGGATGTGTTGAAACTCAACACAAATTCTTCTTAAATTCTCATCAAAATGATCTTCACTAGGGCAAAGCATTAGAACATGTAATGCTCTCCACACCCGATCCTTGTCCTCATTAGGTACCTTGGTTAACAAGTTCTCACTCCATGCCTTCATAACATGGAAGTGACACAAGAGAACTTGTACACCAACTTGTGTTTTGGAACCCTTTTCATAAGTCCAACAATGAACATCATTGCTCACAACTCTTCGAATAACATTCAAAGATGGCTTGTGTTTGTCAATGATGATTGTGGAGGGTCTAACCTCTCCTAAAGATCCAAACACATGGAATAATGCTATCTCTAGAGCAAGACCCTCATGTCACTTTTGAACGTGATTGCTACAAAGCATGTAAAAAACCGGAATTCCAATTCCATCTTGGTTTGGTACAATTGCAGCATACAAAGGCAAACCGTATTGGTTTGTTTTGAATGTAGAATCCAAGGCCCAAGAATTATCATCTGAAAATCGTAGGGCTAATTTTCGCATGAAATCATCTTGTATAACTACCACAAATGGTCTCTTATTGGAGTCTTCATTCTTGGGTGCGTACGGTTGATAGTACAAAATCTTTCCTTGAGATTGTAAATTCATGATCTCAATTTGTGCCGCATCCTAGTCGTCTTTCCAAAGTGCATCTACACACACCCAATCAAAAATTTGAATACAAATTAAAACATAAACAAGAAGAATTTAAAAAGAAAATGATTACATAAACATGAAGAATTAAATACAATTTAAATACTCAATGCATTTCATAACTTCACATAAAAATTGAAATATGGAAAAAAGAATTAAATACAATTGATTCTCAAAGAATATGCAAGTATTTGCACTTCTTTTTTGATGACAAAAAATCTATACGTAGCACGTTCCACCTCTGGTACACTTTGTGAAAATCTCTCTTGAGCTTCAATCAATGTTGCTTCAATGGCTCTTGGTGAAAGCATAAATTTTAAGTTCTCCATAACCCATGCGATAACATAAGGGTGCACTGGTAGAAAGAAAAAATCGGAATTGGAACCCGGAGTGTGACCACTATGTTTGCTATGAACATAGATTGTAGATTGAAGCTTACTATGAAGCAAGATGTTTGAGCACTTTGACACAATGGTCTCCTCAACCTTCATTTGGAATTCACAATCACATAATCTACATATTCTATCCCTTCTAAAGGTCTTGTCATACATAGACTTCACATCAATCGTTCTCCTATGAGGACGGTTTTTGTTTTGTCCACAATGACAACGGTAATAAATCACGATTTTGGTATTCCCTACATGGCATTTCAAACTTCTTTTTAACACAAGGTACTTTGTGCAAAGTGCATCTATAGATGCACTCAAATACTCCAATGAAATCTTCACTACCTCATTCCACAATTTATTCTCTTGGCATACATCACAAGAGTTCATACAATTTTGTATGAATGAGGTTTGAATTCCTCCCACATAGCTATCCGTACTCCATTGAGTACAAATGACATTTGTTGTCATAGAGAATGACAAATGTTTCCCATTTTTGTCAATGTGTACTCCATGCACAATGGAACGCCAAGACTTTATTGGCGGAATTTGTCTATCATTTGTGTCATTCAAAGGGGATAAAACAAATTCACTTAAAAGTTCTACAACTTTTAATCTTCCTTGAAGTTTTTGCCACCTCTCAATTGTAAGAGATTCCACATTTTTTTGAGTGAAAAGCCTATGAAGATTTGAGAGTGGACAAAATAAAGAATTTACCTCATGAATTTGTTGATATGAGGGAAAATATCCTGCTCTTATACAATCAATCATGAGTGCAAGAAATTGGAGATTGAAGTGCTCATACTTGGGAAATGTTTCAATGGGATTGTCTTCAGAAATTGATGAAGGTGTTGAACCTCCAATTTTGAGATGCTCCGCACGCTCCTCCCAAGGCTCCAAAATCTCCTCACCAACATCATTCTCATCCGAATCTCCATTTGATGACAAGAAATGAGTTTCTTGAAACTCTAAATTTCAAATGTGCACATCTTGAAGAAATTCTTCCACCCCCACCATCTCCCTTAAATTGTCTTCAAAGTCGGAGGAATAGAAATTATCATCCTCCACAAAGTCTCCATCTTCTTCCATCTCAAAGTCTACAACAAAATACACCACCTCCATTTAGCACACAATATTCAAATGAAAATATGCTTAACCCTAAATTATCACAATTGCAAAAAAATGTACACAAACTTCATGTATGTAGAACTAAAAGAAAAGACCTTACATTTTACAAGTGAATGAAGAATAAAAAACATAGAGATTTGTACATACCTTGGAGAAGAGATGAAAAAGAAAAGTGATGAGGAAGCCAAAATTGTTCTCAAGAGAGTCAAAAATGACTTTGGTTGGCAATTTGAGAGTCAAAAATAGCTTTGGTTGGCAATTTGACACTCATTGCTCCATTTTACACCAATGTTATGAGAAAGTAAAAAATGGTTGAAAAATGAAGCCGGTGTTGTGAGGAGAGTGTGCACCAGTGTAATGTGGTTAATAGGTATGCTAAACAGGTTAATATATGGTGCAAGGAGACCCTCGCCCCTAAGTACTCCCCTAAACTCTAACCCCGTGAGCGTGGTGGCGGCCCTCCCCTGGAGGTCGGCTGTGGGCCAGGGGATCGGGCTTGCGGGCCCTTCCCGGGGTTGAGGCCTGGGCGGGCAGAAAGCCCTCCCGGGCAGACATTGCGTTCCCCCGAAAGTGAGGAGCCCTTAGTGACGAGCCACCCCGACCTATGACTTCCAAGCTGCCGGCGGAACCATCATACGAACAATGTTTGTGCTCGCAGTCAAATACACACAGACTGTTAACTTTGTCGAGAGACGGAATAGTGAACACCTCTTGGCTTTCTTGACTCTTCTCTCGAGTCATATATTTCAGCCTGTCTTCAATTCTCCTCTCTGGTTTGTTGGATCAGTATCCACGGAGCGGATCGCCCGACACTGATATTGCTCCGGGGCTCAATGTCAAGCAGGTTGCATCCGCATGGCAGTGATTTATGAGTGACAGAATTTGTCATTTGATAGAAGCATGGTTGTCTGTTGTAAATTTTGTGCGCAAGGGAGTTTATTAAAAGAGTGTAGATCTCGAGACTGTAGTAGTAGAGGTCCATGTGCCCACGCTGAGAAAGTCATGTACGGAAAAGTCTTCCTTAATACGCGTTCGGCGTGCCTGGCAAGGTGGGGCAGATTTGCCGAAACGGCATCAGACCACTTTCTGCTGGCAAGTTTGATGATGTGGTGACGTTCGAACTGGTGAAAAACTGCTGAGTTTAAATGTGACAACGTGGTTGGTAATTCTTGCGTGTAGACCGATAAACCACAAAAGGTTATATACTGGTTTCTAAGTAAGAACAATACTCCTGTGGCTACCAGGTGCAGTGAAGAAGTCGAAGGAATAAGTACGCTTCTGTGCTGAAATATTCAACTTGAGTTCACAGTCGGCTCAAAAAGCATGATTCTATTGGACTCTGTAGTAGATGACTCTGCAATCGAGGCATTGTTCTGCGGTGTAACTAAGGTCAAAAAAATCAAAGCTATCCGGCCAAGTATCTTCACTTTTTTATGTGGAGTGAACTAATGTAACTTAAATACAAGTCGGTACTGGAAAAATAGTATACTACACAATTTTTGGTCGGGGTTGAGAAATTCTAATAATAAATTATTCAAATCATATAAGAAATTTATAAAGAACAAGATGATTAAAAAGTCTTACATTGCAAACTACAATGAGATTTTTAGCGCTTAAACAAGAATCAATAAATACAAGTGAGAATAAAACAAGCCAAAAAATCTAGTAAATACAATACACGATATGTAACGTGATATCCATAAAGGATTACGTCCGGTGAATACAACTAGTATGATAAACATGTGAGAGAGTGAAATATTCAACTTGAGTTCGGGGTCGGCTCAAAAAGCGTGATTCTATTGGACTCTATAGTTCGATGACTCTGCAGTTGAATCATTGTTCTCCGGTGTAACTAAGCTCCAAAAAAATCAAAGCTATCCAGCCAAGTATCTTCACTTTTTTATCAATAAATACAAGTGAGAATAAAACAAGCCAACAAATCTAGTAAATACAATACACTATATGTAACGTGATTTACCATAAAGGATTACGTCCGGTGAATACAACTAGTATGATAAACATGTGAAGAGAGTGTAATACAATGAGGTTCTAGGGTAAATACCCCAAATCTGGCGGTGGCTAACTAAACTTAGCTAGCCAAAAATTAACCCCAAACACAGAGTTAATCTCAACAAAAATTATGTATAAAATGATTTCATTATTAATGTTTGTAAAACTTGATAAGATCTTAATTATTTATATATATATATAATTATTAAGATCTCTAAGAACTAATATATATATATATATATATGAATTTTTTATTTAAAATTTTATTGATTTTATTATTTTGATACTCTATTGATATTATGATCATCATTGTAAAGAGTTTCGAATTTGGAAAGAGTCATGAAAATATCAAACATATAAATAAGTTTTGCTATCTAATTCAAAACTTGAAAGATTACAGGTTCAGAACGTGAAAGACTGAAGCTTTGTAATAATATGCGTTGGTCACATTTGCACACAAACCCCTATAACCAAGGGAACGACTGTCATAAAGTGTGAACCTGCAAACATCACAATGAGTCAAGTCAATTTGCTTGACAAACTGACGGCTGTTAAAGACTCAGGTCATATCCGCTAATGGCTTCGAGTGGCAGAAGCTAGAAATACAGTACGCGTCGTCTCTTAGAGTTTATGATCCCTTGACGTATCCAGTATCCGCGAAAGCGGGTGCGTCTATGTGGACGAAGCCGTCGAGAAAGATGCGAGCTTTTTTCCAACAGATGCAAATTGGTGTCACGGACGATACCGATGCGGCTTGTGGTCCCCACCAGGTCCGACTTAAGTTCGCGAGCAGTGCGCGATTCCATCGGGTGCTGGAATTTGCCGTTGCCTTTTACCAAGTTGAGACGAAAGGCTGTTCTTGAATTTGTGATTTTCTCGATACCAAGTGAGTAAGAGAGGAATCGTAATTCCCGCTCGGATAGTGGAAGGCGCGACAGCAATGGGTGCGATGGCGGAGGAAGGCAAAGCAGTGCTTACGCCGAGTCAATTCAATTTGTGGAAGCAGAGGAAGGATGCCGAGGCCGCTGCTAAAGCCGCGGAGGCGGCTCGTAAGCGGGAGGAAGACATTGCTGCAGGGCGAGTGCGGATGAATGGTCGAGAGCTTTATAAGCATGAACCCTGGGTATTTGATGATTGTCAGTTTTCTTAGTGCTTAGGTTGACAGGTGCACAGCACAACCGTCTCAGTTCGTTGAAATTTGTGCAGCTTCACGTAGGTCAGTCTCCATCGATCACTTGACGGAGACATTTCTATACGTATATCTTCTTTTTGTTTGATCAAATCATTTTTGAATCCCTTAAAGTTCTCACTTGGGATCAATATTCAATATAATTATCGGCAATCGGGCAGAATTCGTTTCGGCGGTTTTCTATGGCCTCTTGTCAGAACTATGTTCAATCTCACACATGCGCCGTCAAGTTTTCCCTGGAGTTCTCTTTAAGGATCGCTGAAATTACAAATCTTACATTGTTCCACAATCGTTCGTCAGAAACAAGTTATTCGATCTTAGGAGCCGGAATTATATTCACTTAATCGTTTTTCAACTTTTGCATACATTGAAATAACCCTTGGGAATGGCAAGAGTAGCGAGGCCCGCGAAAGCAGTGGTTCATACCGGAATTCTTTTTCATAATTTACGGAAGTGAAAAGGTTGTCGTGTAAGAATGTGGTCAAAGTCGAGAGTGTTGACAGGATCTAGCGCTATAGAATTACGGATGGTATCGACTTGAGAGTGAAAGCTTTGATTTTGCATAGTAGGATTTGGAATGGTCTGTTCACTGGTCTTTCGAGGTGGCAACTTTGGATGGTTACAAACTCGATCAGCTGTGCTAGAATATACAGAAATCTTTTTCATGTTCCTGACCGCTGAGATAGTTTGTCTTTCGGAAACTGTGCGATGTCAGTTCTTTTGAAAATTATGATACCAACATGTACAGTCTTGTCGGTCGAGAAGGCGAACAGATCAATCGTTCTGTTACCAAGATTTGTGAAGGTAGATTCAAGCTCAGCTTCATCCAGGAGGAATTAAAGTTACTTTATACTGAATAGGTCACAGGAATTTTTGCAATTTTTTTTTCTCTCTCACTGAGTAGACTATGGGCATCCCTATCGATTTCGATAGGGTTGGGTTTAGTCAGGTTCTTCCCTCAGCTTTCATTTGTTTCCTTTCATACTTTAGGCATCTTTCTGAAGCCTCTGTGTCAGGAGTAAGTCGTGAATCCAAGGGGTAGAACTTGCCACTTTTTAAAGTAAACCTGCAGGTTGATGGCGCCAAATATTTGCCCTTTTTTGGAGATCAAATCATGCCATCCTTCGACACCTGAAGAGGCAGACCGGCCAAGCTTAGTGAGTTTCTAGTTCTGTGGATAAATTCAATTTATTTTCTGTCATTGAGTATTGAGAGCACAGCATTTGGTCATTAGCATCAATATGAACTGTTGCAATGGATGGGGAAGTGTTGACTTATTTCGTGATGAAGCCGGATCTGATCTACATGTAGCGCATGCCAATACCTTGTTTGCATTCTAGCAACGGGAGAGTTGGTATCAATGCCGTGCCGAGCAAAACATCGGAAGTCCTAGTGTCATCTGTGAGCACTACAGGTCTCATATTTCTCCTTGTTTGAGGTAAGTGGTGGTGCCACACTTCAAAACTCATCTGTCCAGTTCGTAATTCATTCAAAACTTTGACACTCAATATTAGCTTCAGACGCCCGTTCCAGTTGTATCGAGGAGTGTAGTTATTTGGCTGCAATGGCAGACCGAATGGGCCAAGTGAAAACACAAATACTTCTGTATCACAGTGTATATAACACTTTTTGAAAGCAGCTGATCAAAGAACTACCAATCTACATTATAGAGACTGAATGTTACTTCAAGAGGTTTGAGTAATACCTGGACTGGAGTCAGACAAGCAGGATATTTTTCTGCGAGCTGTTTGTTTGCTGAAAACAAAGAATAGCGAACATATGAGTTGACAGCATTTACAGAGTACCTTGCCGTGCTTGGTTCATGAAGTGCTTCTGCATCCTGCAAACAAACATCCATATAAGATCTGTCAAATAATATTGTTGTTTTAAGTTGGTTAGCCGAGGTATGCTTTGAACGTTGATAGTACAAAAGATCTGGATTATACAACTTATGTAATTTCTAGTTACTGTCTCCAATAGGATTTACACGTAATATGACCATTTTACCGTACAGATCTTTCTTTCGTTCATTAGAGCTATTATGTCTTTAGTATTGTCTGGCTTGCTGCAGATGCTGTTCTATGTATGTAAGCGGACGTGCTTCGAGTTAGACCAGTTTCTGCTCACGAAAGGAATGGCAGACGTGGCTTAGTCCAACGTACCTGCAATCCTGTAGCTCCCATTATGTCAAATTCAACTACACCTTCGAAAAGTGACTCTTCATGTATGTCGACTTTCGAAAATATAGTACCCTTTATATGGTGTTTACGACTTTCTTTATTCAAATTGAAGTAAGCTACTTGGACAGCTAGAGTGGGCGCCCTTTTGTACGTATTGATCAGAGATGGTACCACTTCTACAGGTACATAGAATCTTTTCTTCACCTGGAGGGACATAGAAGGCATACAGTTTCAGTTATTCAAAGTACAGCCTTGAGTTATGAGGTCTAGCTAAAACTGCGACAATGCAACGGCGTTGTATGTGATTATGGAACATTTACACGAACGATCATAGCGATCCTGCGGGATTGTTATCTGATGAACTAGCGGGATGATGCACAGCTCAAACAAAGTCTACCTATTAGTCTTAAGTCCTGAAGACCTTCGAGCCTATTGGTGGTGCTAGTAGATTTCTCATCATAAATGAGCTCAATCAGGAGTTTCGTGTGTCGAATGTGTACACAATTTGTACGAAGTAAAGACCATATTTAAGTACCCGCACTGTTTCACTTATTTCATTGTGGAGTCAAAGGTCCTTGGGATGTGGAAGATCATTTCCTCACCTCTGGAGATGAAGGTTGTCTCGCTGATATCAAATCGAATAAGCTCCACTTAAGCACTTTAGCGGTGCCTAATAGGCGTTCTCGTGCGCAAGCGTTTACTTGCTCGTGCTTGCATGACCGCTTTCTCCTCATATCCCAAGAAGATAAGGCACCACCATCACTAAGATTCATTTCATTTGGTGGATATGTGTCATCTTCGGACAAACTCGCAAAACACCCCCAGAGCTCAAATTTAAGGTCCCCATCGTCCACACTCAAACCATTCATCCTTTTTAAATGGTTATCCAGTCTGTAACCAGACGGCAAGAGGATACCATGATGGACAGTGGCGCTGAAATGAACGGTCTTGCTCCATTTCATAGTCTATAATAACAGTAACAAGTGCTGATTAGTGTGATCATGGAGCTCGTTTATCTCCTGGCCAGCATCCAAGAAGTTTACGTAAAATGCTTGAATGAAATGATCGTGCTTGCCTGTGTGTAGAAAGGTTCCTCATCCCATGGAAAGAAATACTTGATGAACGTCCCCTCTGCACAGATTTTTTGTCAAGATTTTTTGTCAAGATTGTAGGCAGGCATAGCAAGCGTGATTAACTTGTCTGCTTTAACGTCGAGTTTCAAGCCTAAGATTTGCTAAGAAAAATATCACTCCAACATGAAGATCCAGATTCGAGCACCATGTTACATTTCACCTAAGTCAAGCAGTTTGTTAAATTTAATACAGCCGTGCTCCGCATAGAGCTACTTCGTCATCATTATGAACAACAGTTTTGCCGTAATAGCTTCAGTCAACCTCTTCCTCATTCCTCGCTCAGTCTTCACGTGTCCAATTATTAAAAGTGAGAAGCAAGATTTTCGGAATGATGAAGTTGAATAAGATTTAGAGAATCCATAGCTTTGCAGAATTAGAGTTATACATATTAAACACAGAAACCTCATCCGGGATCAAAACTCAAAACCGGGATACTCATACTAGTTCCTGCTGGTGTCTTCCCATCCTTTTTGCAATATTTCTTTGTTACTTCTGACGCTAATATGAAATTTTTCTTCACAAAGGCGGCACTCACCACAGTTTGCGAATATGTCCACTTCAGGAAGATCAGTGGCATGTTGCACAGTCACCTCAATTACATGCTTCAAAATCTTCATCTGCAAGCCCAATATGACATACAATTCTTATGGCATTACCTTTAAACACATATGCCCTTAGCCCTATCTCATGGAGACAACGGGGATGTCTATTACTACATCCAAGCACATACAACAAACACACAACTGACGGTTTGGCCGAGAGAACTTAACCCTTGTGAAACCTGTGAAAAGAAACGGAGATGATGGACAACTGATTAAAGTATGTTCCACCAGATTATTCACAAGAGTCTACATTTTGAGAACTTTACTTGGGAGTTTCTCCCTGAGTCAACTTTTCGGGAACCGGCGAGCAAGAAATTCTCTCTTCCAGCTCTACCGCCATCCCTTACGCCTGGTGCATGACCTTGGATAACTCTTGCTGCTCTGTTTTGCTGCTGCAACTTCAGCATCTGTCCTTCACAACCCAGTTTGATTATAACCTCAAGACTGCCACAGATGACATCCTTAAAAGGATTCCATATGTAGTATTCTCCTTCAGCTACTGCTATAGCCCCGATATTTACTGTCGTATAATCTGAGCAACATTTAAGAGGAATCTTAACCAGGCCAACTAGGTTATCTGCGCTGGCCACATGCGTCTGCTCCATTCCTCTCCAATTACGCCAAACCTCTATGAACACAATGGCATTGTCCATCTGCTTTGGACCCGGTAAAACTCCATCGGGATGAGTTCCCTTCAATGGTCTCCATGCCTTGACTTCATCTCCAGAACTTGATTTCCAGTCGGCAGTAAAGGGTATCTGACAAACACTCGATAGGTCTGACTTCACCACCAACATCAGGGAACTGGCAGGTTTTTCACCCTCTGGTTGAAGCTTGCTGCCAGTAACGCTAGTTACTGTGAAGTACAACCAAGCTCCCTGAGGAGGTTTCCAGATGTGAGTCCTTCGTGAGAATACGGTTTCAGTATGGATGATCTTATCAACTTTCCATACATCTCGCCTCTTCTTATTAAAGCGGATAAATACAGTATCAAACTAGCATTAATGCAACAACTGTCTGATTGAGTAGTGATAAGCACAATATCAAATTACTAGACAAAGCGAGCACTACAGAGTCTTTTCTTCTCGTGCTTGTACTGATACTGAAGTCAGCAGAATGCAGGGATTGTACATCATCCTTTTACAATAGACGTACATTTACATTATCCTCTCGTTTGAATATCTTTGCATTTGGAACTTCTTTGATTTGAAAAGCAAATGAGGCTTTCCTCCGCAGCGTTGTAAACGTTCAATAAGAGACGTCATGATATTACTTTGGGGGAGAGGTCCAAACTACACCATCAGACTTGATCGTTTCTTTCATTGCACTACCATAAGTTGATGATTGGTTGTTGTGATTGTGAAAGTAGTGCTGAAACATGAGGGACATCCTGGAGTGTACCATCATAGGCTTTCCTGAAGCGTCTTCAATCTTTACGTCAATAGCAATTTCAAGTCTCGCAGCCAGGGTGCCTTCCATCTGCGCAGACTCTGCGGATCTATCTAGACAGGAGCCTGGACTTGTCCGAACCACATAGCCAGGAGATAAACTATTTGCCGCCTTGCCTTCGAAGATCGATCTCCCTCCTTCTGCTCTGTACAGACCCAACTTGGTCTGAAATGCTTTCGGCATCAAACTAAATACCTCTTCTAAAAATACGCTTCCCTGACAGATGAGTGATTGTCCGGACTCCCAACTCAGGGAAACACTGACTATCATTTTTTCAGACTTCCAAAGTTCAAGTGCTTGCAGCTTCATACTTTTCCAATGGAGCTGTGACTCGTGTCCAAAGTAACTCTCGCTAAAGTCAAGCTGCATCGGAGAAATTGTAACACTCTGCTCCTGGGCCAATTTTCCTGCATCTTTAGAATGGTTCAGACCAGGAAATGATATCGTTAGTAAACATGTCGAGGTTTTGAGACCCTGCTTGACGCTCCATGCCGCACGGTCTGCACTTAAGGTTGGGACGAACTCCTCAGCCTCTTTCAACGTCGACTCCGACAAAAATAGTTTTCCTACCTTCAGGGTTAGGCATAAATTGAGGGCAGGACTGCAGTCGGTCTGTTCCTGCGTGTTGCTATGAAGGATGCAAGGAGATTCTGGAGGAGGTTTTGGCAATCTGCTCTTCAATTCCATTGACTTGCCTTCCCAGTGTCTCAATGGTAAACCTTCCAAGATTACTTGCTCATTCGGTGGCGCACTATTGTGTATCTGACAAATATCTTCAAGAGCTTTTCGCGATCCAGACTTTTTGGTTTTTGGAACTGCAGCGTCCAAAAACGCTTTGGGGTCTTTTTGCGGGAAAAACAGCTCATCAAGCAAGGCTACCTCAGCCACATCTCTTGGTTCCTCTTCGAGACTTTCGGATTGTGCTACTCTTGCATACTTGGGATCGTCATAGTCCTTACTTTGTGTGAAGAGCGAGTTCAAGAGTCTGTTGACGCTACCAATATTCTCGTCGAGTTGCTTGAATCTCTGTTCTAAGTATGTAGTACTGCCCTTGTTGAGAAGATCATTGGCTGCAGCAGGCGGACAGACATCACCACAGAAAACTGCAGATTTATTCAACGATGCCCGAAATGTCACGATCTGATGAATGAGCTTTTGCACCAGTTCAGAGTAGCTCGAATTACCTACGTCTTGATTGTTCTCCAAGTCACTTGGTAAAATTGCCAAATTCCCTGAGAGACGGTGGCGATCAGGAAAACTTAAATACTTCGGTGGCTTGCCTTCATGAGCATCGAGACTGGCTTCGCATCCATCAATTTTCCCTCCTTCAGAAAACCGATGAACATCGCACTGACCAGCATTTTCCAAAGTTGTCGACTCCTGACAATTCGCCGGTAAAAGACGCGGATCGTGTTCTCCTCCCCCTCTGGAACGCCGACGCAGACGTCCACTGGTAGTTTTCGCTGTCTTCCTGGAACCTTTAGGAGAAGCTTTTCGCATGAGTGGTTTCTCTGACCTTGGGGCGACACGTGTTGAGGTAGCTGTGCTGGGAACTATCCGCTTTGGCTTAGCCTTGGAACTTTGGTGTGGCGGCGAAGCAGAATATAATTTGGGAGAGGAAGGAACTTTGGAGATTTTTTCCTTCGCAGTTTGCTTCAACACCGAAGCTATCTTGCTTGATTGACTCTTATCGACCTTGGGTTTGTCAGATCCGTGCATCCGTTTGTTCTGCAATGACACACCTTCCTTCAGGTCCTGTGAGTCTTTCTGAAGTGTCAGTAGTTGTTGATCACTATTAGCATTCACCCGTCTCCTCGTTGTCTTTCGAGAGGGCAGCCGAGCACTGGAGGATGGTTGAGGCTTTGCTGATTGATTACTAATCCCGGAGTGTAGTTCAGCACGTCTCTGTTTTTCCGACTCTGTTTCTTCGACTCGATCCACCTCTTTCTCGAGAGAAAGATGGGCATTTATCGGTGAAGCATTGGAGCTTACGGGAGACTCACGCTTCTGCTTCACGTCTGGTAAGGTGAAATTTGCGGGAGATAACGCCTCGTCACTTAAGATCGAGACTCGCGGGGAAGACTTGGCTGAGGGGGATGACACATGACTTCTCGCTGTGGAGGGAACTTCAACGTCCATCACCAATTGTCTCTTTCTTTCTAGTGAATTTCGACTTTGAGAAAATGGATCTGTTTGCCCCCGAGGTATCTCAACATCCATAACTAGCTGTTGCTTTGGAAATCGTGTAGCAGCTGAAATTGGTCCCTGCGATCTGTTTGCAGCAGAAACTTCCACATCTACAATCAAGGGTTTTCGTCTACTCGCTGGATCATTGCTAGATGAATCTGGCAATGAAGGCTCCTTGCGTGCAATCGGGACTTCAAAATCCATAAACAGCTCCTTTCGTCGATCAGAAAATGCCGAAGATGTAGGCGTTCGATCGCTGAAAGTGTCTCTTAGATCTGCAACCACAGATTGTGAACACCTGTTAGCCAATTCTATAATTGTGAGGACAAGAAGTTTTTCATCAACTAGCTTAGACAACTCACAACCGCTTGAACTTCTCAATACATGAACCTTGTCTCAACTTGTCAGAACGCGAATGTTTTTATAGCACAGGTTCGTCAACTGTACCAATTATTAGTATGCACCACTGACACCCTGAAGACCATAGTCTTTAGCATGTGCTTGTACCAAGAGATTGAGTTGTAGATGAGGAGTTGGGAGGAGACGAAGGGGAACTAAGAAACGAGAGCAATTTGAGGTCGAAAAGGTTCTATCTTGTCGTATATTTTTTATCTGCTTTAAATGTTGCAGGTAAATGGTACCTGCTATTAATTCCACTTTTCCTGAATAGTCACTAAGTGGAACATTCTCTGTGTCTCGCAAGGACTGTAAAACATTCTCGATAGAGTCCCAAGGTGGTCTCTCGATGGCTGAATCCAATAAATATTCTGAACTGTACACGACAGCTATACTTAGTGTAATATTTGCAAGATGAACACCACTTTTATCAAATATAGGGATGTTGCTTTCAAGAGGATGATCCGTAGAAAGTTGACTGATCTCCACGGAAAAGCTTCCCATTTTGATGCCGAACGTTTCTTTCGTGGATTGCACTCCAACTACCAAACAGAAGTCCAACGACGCCATATCTTGGAAATATCTGGACAATCCTGGCAGAGTTAGTCTCGTTGTGTGGAAGCTCTCTCTCCTCATCAGTCTCGTTGTGTGGAAGCTCTCTCTCCTCATCACTGGATGGAAGATCATTTCTTTTTAGGAGATTTTTGTCGGCACGACACCTAGAAAGGTTCAAAACATCTCTCATTAATCTCTGCGACACAGGACAGGGATAACAGCGGGTTGGCGAGTTCAATGTTTCATGAGCTCTACGGTTCACTACACTCTGTTTCGATTTTAGGGACAGCAATCAATTCAAGAGAGACTGGATGAAATTACCTGTATGTCTGTTTCCTGGTTGACACGAGCGGATAAACAGTCGTCACAGTAGGTGGACAAGAACCATTCGGTATGACCAGTACCAAGTTGTCAGATGGTGGTTGACCCCACCAATGAATGCTTAAGCTGCACCCCGATTTGAAGTCCGGTGGCATAACACTCCAGTCTATCCTTTGCAACTGTAAAACAAGTTCGCCTTTCTGCTGTTAAATCTCAGTTGAGGAAAGTATGATGCAGTCTGTATTTATGCCATGAGCATAAATACAGACTCCAGGTAACACTCGACTCGTGCTTGAGGCTATTCATATTTGCCAGCCTTAAAAGTGAAATCTAGTTCCAGCTCTTTCGGTTCACAGAACAGAATTCAGCAATTTACTTCTGGATGGGGAGAGCACATCAGCTATTTCCAAAGAATTTCAAGGAGCGAGAAGGGTATCACGCACAATTCGAAATATCTACTGCACATTCCTTTACTCATTCCAAATCTTAACGTGAACAAAGCTGCATGGTAAGAGAATAAGCGAGCAGAGAAAGGATATTTCCTTGAATGCCGGGTGGGAGTGACGGTCCAGTATACAGTCTTTTGACAGCAGAATCGTCCATTTTCTGATTTGCCACTCAAAACCATGGTCTACGAAAAGAAGGGTGCAATCTCCGTCGAGCTAGATCTGCAGATATCGACAGATCCTTGCCGTGAACCCACAAGCACATTATATACTCTCATTAAACTGACAATCACACTTTTGCAAAAAGAAGCTAGATCTTCGAGTCCTCGAAGATCACTGTCTCAAGTGGCTCTTCCACTCTCAAGACCAGGTTCCAAATTTCAGGCACCACGTGAGTACAATCATGCAGATTCTACCATGCACTCCCGGGAAAGTCGAAATTGACGTGCGAGAAGTTCATTGAAAGGCTGCCGCTGGCAATCTCTCGGGTCAATCGGGAATGCTCTGACGCACGAGACAGCATTCGAAAGATCGAACCAAATGCAGGACTCTTGAAATCTGCACCCACCTCTCTCTCGCCTGCGCTGCCCCCACGAGAGAATGGAGAGGGGTCGACTCCCTCGACTAACGTTCGCCGACGCGCGGCAAGCCCAACTCTCCCGCGGTACTGGAGAAGAGCCGCGCGTCGCCTCGGCCGAATCACAAGATCAAGATCAAGAACGAGAAGGGCCGCGGGCGCGTGCGTGTGTCGCCAAGTGGAGAAACTGGAGAGCGAGAACTTGTGGTCAAGTGACCGGATACTGCTTGCGGAATGACCTGCAACTTGGAGACGCTTCCCTGCGCCCGCGTACTTGACGCACCGAATGAATTGTACTTCGATCCAAGTCCTCCTCAGAGTCTTCATGTCTCGGTCGGTTTGTTTCTGAGGCAAAGTCCTCGCCCCAAGCTTTGGCTTGCGGCATTTTGGCAAGAACTCATTCGTTGAGAGAAGCAAATCTCAAGATAAACTTACAATAGTTTAGAAGTTAGAAACACATAACTGAATTAGAAGTTAAACATACGTGCAGCCTTGGAAAAATGATAATCTTCAACCATTGGACCAACGAATGTGGATTATGTGTGTTTGTTTATTAAGACATACCAACTTCATGTAATGTCAAAAGGTATGTTTGTGAAGAGGATGCGCTTAGGTGTGTGAAAGATGCTCATCAATCTTAGCTGGTTGTCTACTTAGAACTAGCACTGACAAACAAGCGCTTTTTTTTTACTCGAATTCACGAGGCTTTATCCATAAGGGCTCTTAATAATATTCTACAGCGCCACAACTGACACCTGCAAACATCCAATCGTTTTCAGTGATTGTGGATCATGTACCTGCAATCTCAACGTGAGAAAGTTGTTTCATTATTGCTTTAAAGGTTTCCCACATTAGCACAGCCGTTAAGCTCAAGTGGTACGTATGACATCTATTTTACTTGAGATCATATCCGCAGATGGGAAAGCAAATGTTACTCACGAAATGAAGTAAAATTTTCAGTAGTTCAGCCAAGTAGAGTTGATAAATAATCTCGAACTAAAACCTTTTCTGTATGTGTCAAAACGTAACCTTGTCTTTTCTTCATCAAGACAGAGAGAGACTTCCCGTCAGCTCCGTTCCGTCCGAAGGACGGTGAGCAGCGCACGGAGTCATGGACTCACTCACGGGACAGGAGAGGATAGAGAAGCACGACAAGTGACAAGTCATGGAGAAGACGTAGACGAATTCCGAGCGCACAAAACATTCAAATCCTCGATCCTCAACCTTTATTCCCGTGCCAACTGCTGTGTCGATACCGTGCGTTCACAAAATCAGGAGAAGGATTGAGATTTGCGCCTCTGCATTGCCGGCGGTCGCTGTAATTCGAGCTGGGTTTGGGAATGTTTTTCAGAGCGCGATGTGGGATTTTCGCCTGATTGTTTAGAACAGGAATTCGAATATGTTGATGTCAACGAGGATGATCATACCGACGGAAAACGACCGTCTGCTGCGCTCCACACCAGTCTGTCTCTGGGCATTTAGTGGAAATCCATCTGGTGTAAAATTGTCATCTGCGAACCGGAATGGAGTCAGCTGGAGCAGAATTGGATGGTTGAGTGGACTGTGTTTGCGCAGTTGCTTGAAAATTCAATGCAAGGGTGGAAAATGGAGATTTCCTGCTGTCAAGACACAGAACGTGGAAGGTGTCAACATAAGTTTCGAAGAAGAAGAAAAAGCCCAGAAGCGGAGAAAATTTGCAGCCGAAGAAACGCTCGATTTATTGGAGTGGCCCCGTCTGTGTGCCGCTGTAGCAGAGTTTGCAGGCACTGCAAGTGCCAAAGAACTATGTCATGTACTGTACTTTCCTAACGTGTAATGAATCTGAAATTTCATTACAATTCATCCCGACGGTGTAAATGGATCCATGTGTATACAAATTGGAGTTTCCAAGGAAGCAGCTCAGAGACTAATTTTACCTGACTGCTGAGAAAGTGGAATTTATGCCCCTATGTACTCGTTTCTCTGCTTTGCTATAACTTCCACTAAGTTGTCATTTGTTTAGCTGTCCTTACTGAAATTGTGAAGGTTGTCATATGCTGAATCAGGCACTTACCTTACCTTCAACACGAGAAGAGAGTTTAGCATTACTCGACGAGACTACTGCTGCACTCGAATTAGACAATTTGCTGGCGGGAGTTCTTGACTTTGGAGCTCTCAGAACTCCAGTTGTAAGCCGTCATAGCCACCTGATTCTGAATATTCCTCAATGTTGTTCCGGTTCCTCAAATAGTTGTAACAGAATCATCTGTACTGAAGTTTTTTTCGCAGCCTCTCTTCTTCGCAAGCTGTGTAAATGCCAAAGAGCTCCGGCGTATACTGTCTCTCTAAGTTTTAGCTCAACACATAGGTTCTTTGTATCTGTCGTTTGCAGATAAAAACAGGCATAGATCGGGCTTCTAAAGGTGCTGTGTGCACCGGGATGGAGCTTGTAGCGTTAGCAACGCTTCTTCAGTTTGTATTGACATTAAGGCGTGGAATTGCTACAGCTATTCAAGACAACGGAGAGAGGCTGGACATATTGTTGCCCATCGCCAGACTGGTGAGGTTCTTCTTCCGTCATGCAATTACATCAGCACGTTCTCTTCGTCATCATATGTTCAAGAATTCATGTGTAGATGATTTTCTTCCTCATGAGCAACCCGAGAGGACTGAGAAGCTAAGCTTAGGTCATGATGACCTCATCCAGTTGCAAACTGAAGCTAGGATAATAGAGTGTGATATATGAAGCTATGCCTAGATATGATCTTGTATTTGAACCATTCACCTTCATTCCACAAACTTGTGAGAAATATCGTTGCAATGGACCTTGTAGATTCGCAGCTTAAGCATCACAAAGCCCTTCATGCAGCTCATGTTGTTGAAACGTTATGACAGGTTGAGCCAATGATAATCCCTCAAGATGTACCGAAAGCAATATGGAGTAAGGTTGAAGAAGATGGCACAGTGAAGGATACCGCTGTAAGCTACCGACTATAATGGCCTGCGCGAAATGGCCACTTCGGAGAGTTTGATCGTGATTTCATTATAGGGAATATGTAATATGTATGTACGCATGTATTTCGCACATGAGGTCATGGCTAATTTAAAAGAGAAGCCGGGGCATGTACATCCTAAATCTTTACTTGCAAATTCTTTGTAACTTATACAGAGTTCCCGACTTCGACTAGCTCGCATACAAGCTCGTACTATTGAACAAAGGGTAACTATCTGAAGCAAACCTATGACTGTAGGCCTACTTTATATATGCCACTTTGTTTTGTGCGCTTTCACGAGTGTATGTGTGTTTTTGTTTGCTTGTGTGTCGGAGAGCTTATGGGAATTGACTTTCACGTATGATATCAACTCGTGTTTCTAGCCCTATGTCTATGGTAGTTGTCTAGCGTGCAGAGTCTTTTCAGTAACAAAGAACGACTCAGAGGTTCATGGTCTTTATTATCTTGTATTTGAGACATATTCAACTGGATTGAACTCTGCGGTACTAAACATTCCAGATTTGGCACCTGAAGTCCAGTCCACTGATCATAGAATTCCTTTTCTAGCTTCAAGACCTCCTGAACAGGATTATGCGGGAGCAATCAGGAGCAAGTGCTGCCCAGGTTGGGAAGCTGTGTTAACATTCCTGAATTCTCTTTCATCGCCCATATTTATTTGATTCTGGGCCTATGTATTGTTTAGACGCATTCCACTTCGTACATGCATGTTTGGGTTTACGGAGTTAAATGATCTGTTTGCAGGAAGTAGTGGACGTTGACGGACGACTATGTTTGATTGTCCCTGCAAACAAATCGGACAACATCCCCGGCTTGCTTTTTCAAAGGTAAACCCTCGCGAATAATCTAATGCGGAAACTCTGAAACCCGCGTTTATAACTGCGGTCATAGTTACTAAGAAAAATCTTTGTGTTTCTGCTCTCTCACTTTCTTCAGAGGAAGCGGAGCCACAGCATATCTTGAACCATCGGCAGCCGTGTCTCTCAACAACAAGCTCTCTGAAGCACGGGCGGAGGTGCAGAATGCAGAATATGAAGTGTTGTTGGAGATCACTAGAAAGGTAAGCCAAGCTGTCGCAATGAGCAGGCTTGCTTGTATATCTTTCTTATCAGATTTCCGGAAATGCATTTCATGTGTTCGAAAAGTCTGCTTCGGATGTTCCCCCGTGACATGAACCTCCTGAGATCTTCCGTGTTATCAGTCACTTAAGCGTATCATGAACTGATTTTTGAACGCGGTTTCCGCAGATTGTGCCTCATTTGTATGACATCCAGATCATTCTTGATATCATAGTGCGTCTCGACGTGGTAAGGGTGATAAACAATATTTCACTACGATGTATCTTTGTGGATATGGTTTGCTCGTTTCTGCAGTACCGAGAGAAGTTTCTGCTTCTGATGTTACTTGTAGACTAAGTTTAAGAATCGTGCAATTGCTACATTTCTGACCGCGCTATGGGCTGGTGTAAAAGATATCCGCGCGTGGAAAATATAGTTCCAACATAGGCTCCTCCAGACCCATCTTTTGCACCTCCATCGATACGTTGCGACATCATGAAAAGACTGATGCAGAAACCCTGCACGAAATTAGTCAGCAAGGAGACCTCCTTCTCAACTTACGAAAAGCTCGACATCCCCTTCTCGTGGAGCAACATTTCCAAGCTTTGAAACGAGCGAAGTCGAAGTTCAGTTCAGCATCAAAGGTTAGAAAAAAAAGTTGGACCATGCATCGTTGCAGTCAAAACAGATATTAACTATTTGCTCCCAGCATATTTTAAGCATATTTTCTGCTTACATAAAGCCAGTGGTACTTCGCTAGCAAAGGCATTGCATAGTTCTGCAGATGTTATCTTGTAATGCCCGATCACTGTTTCGCTCAGGTCAAACTGGTGCTTATTAAAAAGAAACCTGATGCCAAGCACTGCTACTTCAGGTCCTAAACAGAATGAAGGGAAGACCTGGTACAAGCGCATCCATGTTGCAGTCCGCAGAGTCTGCATTTGCAGAGTCGGAAGCGGAGGTTTGTTCACTAAGTGCTATCTGTCTATGAAGCGACGCTCCCTTTTCTTCTCCAAAACTAGACTCTCCGCAGCATGTATTACGATTCAGAATATTCACAAATTTGTGCCTTCTCTGTAAGAAGATTTGAACGGCACTGAGAAACGAAATAAGAGTACCGTAGCATAACCAACGTGCATCATATATGATTCTATACAGCTGAAAGAAGTAGAGGCAAAAGTACCTGTGCCTATCGATGTGCAAGTCAGTTCCGGGACGCGTGTAGTTGCGATCACGGGCCCCAACACGGGTGGGAAGACAGCAGCGATCAAGACTATTGGTCTGGCAGCTCTGATGGCCAAAGCTGGTGAGTTTTCTGTCGAGATTCAAAAGTTCTGAAAATTAGTCTTGATAGATTTCTATTTGTCCAAGTTATTGACCTCCAGGTGGCGAAAATTTTTGCAGGCCTTTACGTGGTGGCGAGGGATCCTATTCAGATTCCATGGTTTGATGCAGTTTTTGCTGATATTGGTGACGAACAGTCTTTAAGCCAGTCTCTCTCTACATTTTCAGGTCATCTAATGCGCATAAAGGTAAGGAGATCCAACGATAGTTCTTTTGCTCCTGTCATGAGGTTCAATTTTATATTGTGAAGTTCTCACTTCGGAATATCATGTCTGTAATGTGCAGCGTATCAAGTCAGAGTCAACCGGAGCATCATTAGTTCTATTAGATGAGGTTCTGATCTGCTCCTTAACTTCCATCTCCCCTCTCTGTGTATTCATGTATCTTCGATCCTCGCCTTATGTTGCCTGTCACCATGGTTCTTTCTACTGAGAAATTCCTCTGTAGTTCCAAAAGCTTCTCTCAAGCACAGGCCAACAATCGGTATAGAACATACGATTTTGTCATGCCCAAAGATTGATATTTTCTGTAAGTTTTATGCGTAGGGCCTTTGTGCTATCAATACATGGGCTTATTGACCTGCTATTACACGGATTCTGGTTATTTCACTAAGACAGTCTAGAGTACTAAGATAAGTCGTCAACACGGCGTTTAACAGGTTGGTGCGGGAACAGACCCCACCGAAGGTGCAACTCTTGGTATGGCAATGCTTGAGTCGTTCGCACAAGGTGGCGCTGGCGGTTCCCTTTTGACTTTCGCAACTACTCATCACGGAGAGCTCAAAACCCTGAAATACAAGTACTGTGCACTTCGAATCGAAATGACCCTGAGGCTGAAAGCTTCTTCTTTTCTATCTCTTTAGCCAAAGTGTTGAACACTCGTCTTCCTGGAGGATCTTGCCAATAGTCGTTGCTCTTGTATTGATGATCATGTATTGATGTATGCAGAAAGCATATTACTACTAGTTTGTTGGCAACTCGGATTTTGGTGAAACTTTTAAATCCTGTATCTTGCTGCCTGTGCCTTGCCAAGTCCATTACAAGGAGAAGGCTTTGAGTATGTTGAGCTTAAGTGCACTGAAGAGATACATGCCTCATTGCTACGTCGATCATGGCTCGTATGATGTAAAGAGAGATTGATCCATGATAAGAACTCACCATAGCAAACTTATGTGGTCCATTGGTTAAACAGTGATACTCGATTTGAGAATGCTTCTGTAGAGTTCGATGAAGTGCGGCTTGTTCCAACATACAAACTCCTGTGGGGCATTCCAGGTTTAATCTCATGTCATTTTATTTTATTTTTGTCTATGACTTCAGCGATGATTTCTGTGTATATGGTTATTCCTGGAAAGTCTAAGATCTCTGTATCCTAGTCATTGTAAATAATAAACGTAAATCGGAAACTTTAAGCGGGTTACCGAATGTGCAAAAATTGCCTTGATCTCAGGACGATCAAATGCTATAAACATTGCAAGAAGGCTGGGCTTGCCCAACGAGATTCTGGCCGAGGCCGAAACTTTGTATGGAGCAGAAAGTGCAGAAGTCAATGAGGTACCTCTTTATTGCCGCTTTGCTGCATTTACTGTAACAGAGAATCTAAGACAAGCCCATTCCTTCTCGCCGTTCTTCGTGTTTGATTGAGAACAATCGAATAACTTAGAAATTGTTGCTTCCAGATTATTTTCATGAAACCATCCGTTCCAGTCCCTACTTTTAGCGGAATCTGTATCTAATTTTTCATCTAGACCTTCATATATCCTGGAAATCATATCGTGGCAGTACTGATGAGACATACTTTTGCTGTTATTAATAGGTAATTATGAAGCTTGAGGAAGCGAAGCTGAACTTTGATCAAGGATTGGAAGAATCAGAGAGTCTGTTCTTGTACGTTCATACATGGACTCCTCTTCAGCAAATGAAAGTTTGTATGCTCTTCAGTATGTTACTAGAAGGTTTTATTTCAATATTGATGTTATTGTGCTCAACGCAAAGTTTCCAGACACTTGGGATCTGTAATAAATTCATCATTCGTGAGTTCGTAGTAATCCATCTTCAATTCTACAGAGAGATCAAAAAACTCCATAGTAGGCTGCTCTCCACAGCCGAGGCGCTTCATGACTATGTAGACGAGCTACAGCTGGAAAAGCGAGACAAGTTAGCTTCAATTGCTGCTTCGGCTCGCTCTAGATTGAGTGCAATTGCGAGAACTAAAGGGCCAAAGGTTGCGGCTTCTGTGCTTGACGATATAGAAGCATCCACCAACCTTCAGTCCCTAAAATGGGAAGAGAGAAGTAGTTCAGCCACGAAAACCTCTCAACCCCCAGGTTTATATTCTACTTTTTTTTGCGAATTACAGTTTGTTTCTTTATGTATGTTTATGGTCTTCTTGCTACAGAAAGATGGAAATGGTTGTTCATGCATGCATACACGCTTTCTTGCCGGCAGTTGTCATCTAGGCGGACAAAGTAGCTGACTTGACAATGGAACTGCATGTAAGGTAGGAGTCATTTACGCCAGTGTATCATTCAGAAGTATTTCGCACTCATATTTACCTCATTCCTGCGCAGATGTGGCTGAACTCAAAGTAGGGCAATCAGTATATCTACCCAAGCTAGGTAGAAACGTGAAGGTTGTCGAGGTGAACGGCAAGAATGTTACGGTTCTCTCTGGAAAGATGCAGTTGAAAGTGAAACTGAAGGAACTGCAATGAGCAATCTTTCAACGACAGATGTTTCCACCATCACCAAAAATGTATCATTAAATTTTAAGCTGGAGTCTATGAAGACTTTGCAGGACGCGAGAGAGCTACTGATACCATATGTGAGATTTCGTTGTGTACATGGTGTCCTTTGCGTTGCACCTCTGTTCTTTACGTCGGCTCTAAATTTCCACTCGACTTCTTCTGGCCTCATAAGAATGCAGTATAAGAATGCAGTTACTCGATGCAAGACTTAGATTTATAAGTCAAAACTCACGCTATGTGCTTGGAACTCTTGTAAACATCCCATTGCGACGCACGTTCGGCAAACCTGTCCAGAGGAGATCTCAATTCTGAGTTTTACCAGATGTTCGTTCGTCGAAAGCACCAAGAGATTCACCGATGTAGCCGTCAAAAGCGATTGTAGTCATCAACACCTCTGAGCTGAGCAGAATTTGAGGCCAGTCTGAAGTTCCTACCAGGTGTACAAACCTCCGAGATTGCGCTGACTCTTTTTCACATTGACTAAGTCGGCCGGTCATCAAGAAGTGTAAAGGACAGAATACATGCACAATGAACGGAGGAAAAGGTGACCATGGTTGATGATTATAATGAAAATTTCATTCGAAGGATCGTGTACAATACGTTGAGCATATTGTCACTGAGTCGTCTGGCAAAGCGATACAGACATGATAATAATAAGATATATGCAAAGGATCGTGGATGGGAAGAGGACAACCGTTTCCATCCTGATGAATCGAGCGAGTGACTGTCTTTTGAGCTCTATTTCTGATTGACACGTCCCATTCTACTTACAAGCAACGAACATCTCCCGAAGGTCAAAAGGCGCAAACTGCAGTGTGCAGAGCGTGTGTAAAGCGCCACATGGAGTGAGAAGTGACAGAGGGCAGCTCAACACGTGTCACCCAAGATCCTTGGCCCGCGCGCTGGATCTGAACAAGTAACATTTAGAGAGTGGATAACGAGTAACGACAGTCGATTGTCTATAGCAGAAGGCCATAATCCACTTTGTGTCTGGATGAAGTCGCAGCAATTCTCGATATGCCGAGCAGACCATAGAGGACAAGCACGACATTGTCATCGGAGCCCTTCCTGGCTGTGGCCTCGGGGTTCACTACGAACACATCCCTCCGCTGGATTGTTGCCTTTCGTGACTGCTCGGTATCTTTCAGACGAGAGGAGCATCGAGCGAAATGGCGGCCATGGCTTCCGTGTGCCGGGCAGGAGGCAGTGTGTGTGCGAGTAGCAGTAGGTGCGCGCCCACGCCAGTAGCACGATCCGCTTCGGGACTTGGAAGTGTGACCTTTTTTGAAAGCTTTCCGCGACGATTCTTATCTCAGGTGCGGACGAGAAAGTAGAAATTTTGGCTTCCAGTTTAAACTCCAGAGTTGGCTTATCGGACTTGCTATGAGCTGCATTAAAATCGCTTCAAGTTGATGCACGTGACTATGAATCACATCGATATCCTTTTGAACTCATGTGGTTTCGTAGTCCTGCGTGGTCGAAGGTGCTAACCAGTAGTCTTGGGAGGATTATAAGAGTTCATGATTCTGATCAATCAATGGTGATGATTGAATTGTGCAACAGCCGCCTGATTAGTTGTGCTGCAGATTCTTGATGCCTTCGTCTTCTTTCTAGGTTTTGTCTGCTGTCTATTGTCTGAGGAAGTTCAACGCTTTGGAAGTGCACTCTGTAAGCAGATCAGCAAACAGAGTGCACTGACTGAAATAATTATACCTCGCAGTTTGTTGTGAAGGTCGTGAGCAAAACGGTAGATCGCGGAAGCGTTTTTTCTCGAGTGAGTCGGATGAGATTCCTGCAGAAATGCGAATTGCAATCTGATTATCTTACCTTTCTGGATTGCAGAAGTACCACACGGTTCCTGCACAATTTCTGGGCAAATCTTACAAACTCCGAGCGCAGTCGCCAAATCACCAAGGTGGCGAAGAGCCAGAGGATGAACAGATACCAGAAGTTTCACCAAAGTTGCCGTCTATACCTTACGGTTTAATCACAGGTCTAGCTTCTGTAGGGTTTTTGGAGACAGGCTATCTGACATGGGCGAAAGTAACTGGGGGCTCGGTAACCTGTCCTATCGGAGCCGGCTGTAGTGATGTTCTTGACAGTAGCTACGCCTATGTCTTCGGTAAGCAATTCTCAGTACATGGAGGAGTTCCTGTAATCGGTCACTAGGAAAATTGGCAAGCGCAGATAATTCGTCAAACAAAGATTGAACACCCATTTACACGAGGAGACATGGACATGGCTGCTTCCATTTAGTTCTTTCGGTTTTATGCATGTCCACGGATTTCTCTAGAGTTGAGAACATTCATGTTCCGAGGAGTTGTACGGTCTTTCAGGTTCAACTCTTTTTCCTGAAGGTACCGAGGGAAATTCAGTTGGGTCTTCTGGGTTTCTAGGCCGACTGCCATCATAATACACTTTGTCTTCTTCTCATGCACTAGCTAGCTTAGCTAGCTTCACTCCCTGTTGATATTACAAAACTTTCCATACGTGCATGCTTTAGGGTATATGTGAAAAAAAAATTTATGTATTCTGCGCGATGTAGTTCGTGATTAGAACGATCAGTGATTATCGAACCTAACTCTTACTTTTTGTGCAGGTGTGCCACTGGCTCTGATTGGTATGGTTGCATACGGATCGATTGCTTTTTTAAGTGGCAACCGTCTGCTTGCTAGAGATTCTTCTGGGAAAGAGGAAGAAGTTTGGGCTCGTTGGCTTTTGCTCGGTGGCACCACAGCGATGGCAGTTGCAAGTTCTTACTTTATGTACATTCTGACTACTAAACTGGGCGGAGCTTCGTGCGCTTTCTGTGTCGGCTCAGCTCTTCTTTCTCTCAGTCTGCTTTTCTCCACTCTTCCGGTGCGGGGCCCTTCTTTCGGCAGCAGTTCGCCCGTGAATTGGAAACGTATGGGCATTTCATAAATTGCTCTATTTCATCCCTAGGAAGAGTGTAAATGAGGTTTTGGATCTTTTGTGGGCTCCTTTGATTCTCTAGCGATGGAGTCTTAGTGGCGATTTGGGCATGAAAAGCTCGCCAAATGTACCAGCTTACTTTGTGGTGTACATCTCGGGTATCTCAATTTGTCGTTTGCAGGATTCGGTTTTTGATAGAAGATAGTGTATGTTGTTTAGTCGTCTAGTATCAGTAGTCAGCTAGATTTATTCTGTCACAGCGCAAAGATTCAGTGGTTAGAGGTTTCAATGTTTTGTTGGGTTGCAAATTTGCCACGTACAGGGCTTTACATATAAGGATGTGCGAAACATAGCAGGGTTGCAGCTGGCAGTAGGGGCTACGGTGGTGGTGGGCTTATCTGTCGCCTTCGGTGATGCGAATTCAGCGTTTGCAAGGTATTCTTCCTATGTCGCTGCGTCCATCAAGGAGCCTTAAAACACTGTGGATACTAACTTGATAGTACCAAGCTGTTCTGGCCTCGATAAGTTTCCGTGTCAATCCCGTATGTATAACTTTGTACAGTCAGCTGTACAGATTCAGTGAGTTAAGTGCAGCGTTTCTTCTAGTAGAGCACTTTTCCCAAAAGCTTCCTAATCTAGTATCACCCTGTTTTGGAATTGTTGTAAACGTTCACAGAGGAATCGTTCCTTGACCTATCTGTCCTGGGCAATGTGTACATCTCGGGTCAAACTGTGAATCCTATGTAGCTTTGAATCCTTAAAAGAATATATTCATTCTTGACCACGAAAGGGATTTTTTTCCAGCTTTCATGAGTATTACCCAGAGGCCTCAGCTACCTCGTCCACTCTTTGTCCGAAATGCGAACCAGAGAACCTTCTGATTTTTAAATCTGTCCGGGGTATTGCGGACAATTTTTTAGGTCAAACTGAAGAGTCTTCTGTAGCCTTCATCTCAAAAGAATTTTCTTTTCATCTTTTCTTGTTTCCGCAAGGGACTTAAATGCAAGACACGGAATGATCCATGTGCATTACTCAATTGCTTTGCCATCGCTACTTAACTGTTTTTTATATTGCACTTGACTACTGTTATGAAGGTCCGGAGAAATTGATCTACCTCCCGTAGAACCGGAGGTTGTAACAATCTCCACGTCGAAAGAAATAAGTCTTGCGAAACATCTCCAGTCGATTGGAGCCAAAATGTACGGAGCTTTCTGGTGTTCTCATTGCTACGAACAGAAACAGGTAATGATCGTGTTTATTCATGTTCAGCATGTTTTTTGTTCAGACTCAAAACTATATGCTGGTAAATTTGCTACGGGTGGGAGTGTTACCTGTGTGCCTTGTTTTAGTGGTTTGACAAGGTGGAATGGCAGATGTTCGGACGCGAGGCCATGAAGTTTGTAGATTATGTGGAGTGCTACCCCGAAGGCTACAGGAAGGGTGTACAGCTTGCTAAGGCCTGCGATGCTGCTAACATTCAGGGCTTTCCGACGTGGATTATCAAAGGCCAGGTGCGTGTTGGCGTATAGATTGATAAGTTCCAAGTTGCTGAGTACTTGTGCCACACAAACGACTTGTGAAAATTGTTCATTAACCTCGTCTTTTTCGGGTGTGTTGAACAGACCTACTCCGGAGAACAAGATTTTGAAGGCCTGGCTAAAGCTTCCGGTTTCGACCTTGCAAAGCTAAAGTAGCCGGTCCTTAAATTAGACGTAAACGGGAGAGTTACTCTCCTGGTCGAGGTTGAGGTTTTAACGTACGAATCAGTCGACATCGTCTTCATATGCCAGTAAGCTGCAATGAACATGTAGAAGATCTCACCTGTAAATCTGCCACCTTGGATGCCAAAGAACACGCCAACGGCAGTGTAAAATATTAGGAACCAAATTAAAACCTCAAGCTTCTAATTAACTTCTGATTCTCTTTGAATTTATATTCTTCTCTAAGATGCCGGGAATTGCACCCTCATATAATAGCGATCGCTTGCCGTCTTGGAAGAGATCCTCGAGTATTGAGGTACAAGCTGTAGGTGTGACCATGACGGTGCTAGATGCACAGTTATGCCCACGAACGCTTTGATCCATACCAGTAGCTCTGAATCAGAGTCTGCAGGCTTCATCAGATCAAAGTTACAGATTGCATATATTTCTAACTCCACCATGGATGAGGTCTCGGACGTAGGATCTCGGATGAGGATCTCGGACTTTCTCCGGAGATTATTCTACCGCTTATTCTTCACGTTAATAATCACATAAAAGCCATCGATTTGGCTGTGGCAAGAGCACTTCAAGCCAGTGAGTTCTTACGTGAAGCTCAACTTGATCGGTTTCCACTTGACCTCGCTCGGTGGACTGATACCAGCCGGTAGTAAAAATCAGTGATCGATCCACGGAGTATTGATAACGACTAAAAGGCTTGGAAGAAACGACCGTACGTCTAGGACGGGACCCATGAACTAGGATTCCACGACACGAGAAGAGGGTGTGTAGGACATCTAAACCAGTTTCTGCTCAAACGGTTTCGAGTCTACTTCCATACATCGTTGTCTGTACTTCGTGCCAGCACCGACCGCCACTGCCAATTTACATCACTTGCGGCGAGATGAAGACATGGTGACTTCTAACAACTTTGCATCGTATGGCAGAAACTCAGACGAAGGCGTTTGTCGTCGCCACCTCTCCTGCCCAGTTGACCAGTGAATGACGATCCGTTGTACAATCAGTCACGAATATGCTTCAATCTTCTCATGCTCAAGGCTTCGTTTGAGAGCAGTGGGTTGTCACGTGAAGGTGCTGCCCACTACTAATGTTCATGAGCACGAGGTCTAGTGAAAATTCCCACCAGTGACAAGGTTTGAAAGGACTTGGAGTGAGCTGCCGCTCCATAATTTTGTTCACCGGCCTTCTCTACTGAAGGGAGCAGCTACACAGGGATCAGAGGACACTCGGATCATACAGTCCCAGCTCAGATGAATTAGAGAGAGCATCAACAGCACACCTGCTGCTCTGTCCAGGAGCTGTGACACATGCATTTCGTACGATCAGGCATGTCACTTGTGTAGTACAACTTGTAAAATTGAAACCCGTACACACATTGTGCAAGGTTCGAGGAATGAAGGGCAAGGCAAAAGAGACCCAAGAACGGTGCTCATGAGGAAGTGAGTCGCTGCACTGAGAAATGGCCACTATGCCCTCACGGGGCCCCTGCAGTGAATAAATAATCCACGAGCTGGTTGACAGCATACAAGCCCAAGAAGAACTTCCGACTACCGAAGATAGAAGAGATTCAGACGAGCGATTCAAGCAGCCCGATGAAAATCGCGACAGAATCTGGACAGTCCACTGAAAGAGCGAAGGGAGACAACACTATGCAAATCGGCAATTTTCCCATCTGCACAGTCAAGTTAGCCATCCGACCGGCCACAGATGGCCTGGAGGTTGCACACGGTCTGGCACCTTCAGAGGGAGCCAGGGAGGCAGGCACAAATGGTCAAAAGACGAGCGGAAGATCTCGCAGGCCCAGGCCATCATTGCGACGGTCACCGATCATTCTCTGGAACGAATCCATTTGCATGGACACGAGCGACACAGGATCCCATCATTCGCGAGCGGGCCGCAGGCAGACATTCACGACGCTGCGTTGCGTCCGAGGAGGGTCCCCCCACGCAACCAGGGTGACAATCAATATCTGGCTCCGCTTTGTGGTGGCAATTGAGCTCCGTGCTCGCGGCCTCATTGGCGACGGCCACTTCAGGCCCGGCCCGTTTCTCATTGGCCCACAACTGCCAACTTCTCCCGTCCATCCGTCCGCCCCTCGTCTTAGCTGTTCCCCCTTCCCTACTCGAACTGGTACCCCCGCGAAAAGCTGCTCCGTCCCCTTTGACATACGAGTTCTCGCTCGCCAGATATTTCTTCCGCCCTTTTTGTGCCCCTCCCTGCCCTTCCTGCCCCTTCCTCCTCCTAGACCCCCTGGCGACCCGACTCGGAACTGTCGTTTCCCGACGGTTCCCAACGGACTCTACCACCTGCCCCGTCGGACTCGACTCGCCTCGCCTTCTTGCCCCCACCCAATGTGCGCTCTACTGAAGTTCAGTCACAGTACAGTACGCAGTCGTAGTGCTGCCTGTCGCTAGCAGCGAGCGTAGCGTAGGACTCACGGGATCAAACCTCTGCGAGGCACAACCGTCCGAAAGAATAGTGTGCAGTGCAGTGCCGAGACCGAGAAAAGGGCCGAGCGGGCCAAAGACTCTTGTGATGCAGTTTCTTTCTCTCCCGCCTCAGATCTCTGTCTGATGTCTCCTGCATTGATTCTATACGGTCCAGTGACAAGCGGGTATCTGCGGTTTTGCAAATACGAGATGTGCGCTGGTCGCACATCTCATGTGAACAACACCAAGAAGCGACATAGATTAATTAGAGATGTTGCACCTTAGAGTGGCCCTGGAAGGCAGAGTCCACCCTCGTCACTGTCCAATTCTGGAAAGTTCTCTAGCGCATTTGAGAATTTATATTTTGATACTGAGTGGTGCATAATCATGCTTCTTTGTGTCTGTCTGCACCAGCGACATTAGAACAACAACCTGAGAAGTATATACTGAGATATATCTTGTAACGAAGAAAGAAAATATCTCTCGCCTTTCACATTTGCCTTGGCAGATCAAAGGGATGAAAGATCGAGATCGGGCTTATTGACCTTTCGGGTGTGTATCCTTCGATGATTTCTGCAATCCTGTTATAAGTTTTCTGTTTGAGTCTACCGTTTTCCAGGAGTTATCATCCGTACCCGTGGTTAAAGCAGTGGGAGATATGTTCACACTACTTTGTTGATTTATTAATGCAGTATATTCTCCCGTAGATTTAGAATCTCAAGATTGTGTTCAGATTATTGCTGCCAAAGGTCTAATGGATAAGTGCAATGTTTTTGCCATATGTACTAAAATGCTATGGATCTTAAATATTTTTAAGAACCTTCATAGATCTACATATGCACCTTGGCTCTTATCCCTCCCTTAATAGTCCACGACTTCGATTTCAGTTTTCTTCATGCATTTGTAGGTCCATGGGATCGTTATTCGATCCTACGATTAAGGAAAATGATAGTTCCTACACACAGACTTCAACCCCCCAAAATAATAATTTAATAGCTCTTACTGCATCTTCAGGAATTTTATTGTATTTGGGAAAATGCTAGCTAAGATACTTCTGGTCTTAAATTTTCTCCGCCGATGAATAACACGAGTTGTTGGCATAAACTCCAATCTTCTGGCCTGCTCTTGGCTGTACTTTAAAAGCTCGTTGAATTGTGAGATCCACATAGGCAAACCATTACCTCTTGGAGAACCTTTTCGCTCAGACACATATATTTGAATGAGACTAGGGTGGCAGCTATGATAAGATAGACTACTACGAAAGTAAGAGCATAGTGTTATAAGTGATTAACGTCAATGCATGACGTTAATCCTCATTCACTCGATTAAACATAAGTTTGCAAACCCTAGATAAACAGAAACACTGGATGACGGACAGACCTTGTGACCTCGAGAGTGAGTGTAGACTTGTATGCTTTGCAATAGACATGAAAGAGCGAACAGTGAGTGGTAGGATGGCAATCACTCCCGGAGTGGAGGGATTTTTATTTTCAGTACCAAGCAAGTCGTTAAGTGGAAGGCGATGGGCCTGGATGCTAAAGCCTAAACCTGGGGTCAGTACTGTGTCAGGGTAGCAGAACTCAAAATGCGTAGTTGGATCTTGCACGGGTCGACCACTTTTCAGATCTCTACTGTAGCCCCATTCCCCTACACTGAAAGTGCCTGGTTCTGTTAGAATGATCTCGTTCTTCGAAAATGCATCACGTCTCGAATTGCACGTCATTCTTGCATTGTTTATGTTTTTTTATCTCGAGGACGAGAGGCGAGCGAGAAAGTGAAATACCCATCGAGGTCTACAACCTTTCTTTCCGCTCGGAAAGTTGGTAGTGAGCCTTTGATTCGGAAAACGCTACCTGACTGGAAAATAACGGGCTTCAATCGATTGCGATCTCGAGAAGCAAAGGGGAATTCACTACGAGATGAGAGGGCACGAAAGCGAACTAAAAGCAGGCCATAAAGGAACAATTTCCGTGCGAAGGATAAACCTCTACACGCAGGCCTTCAACATGTTAAGAAGATTTTCCTATCTAGGGTGGCTTTCACAAGTGAACGGGTGCCAAATGTCCCCCTTCCATGGCACCAACTTTCACAAGTCTGGTGTCAAAATTCTTTTAACACCTCCTCTTGTTAGGTGAATGTGGGCATGTACCAGAAGATACAAGAGTTGAGGTCTATACTGTATTTAATGTTTTCTTTTGCATTGACCTGACTTTAGAATCAAACATGTTCTTAGAAGATCTAGGGTTCAGAATGCACATTCAAAAGCATGTATCCTTTAATTGCAGTTGTGGAAATTGAGGGGATGGCTATGGTGGATAGTAGCTAATTTTAGAACCTAGCGATTTTGAAGCTCAAAGTGGATTAGATTATTCCCTGTGATGAGAAATCTGAACATTTCTAGTACATAAGCTAATTATAATAGATTAATTTAAGAACCTAAATTAGATTTATAAATGAGATCTATGAAATTATTAATGTTTTGATGAATTATTTTTCGTTAAAGTTTCATATTTTATACTCTATAATGTACAAGATGTTAGATGAAATCAACTGCACGATAATTATTTTTTATTTTTTATTTATTTACTTACTTACAAACTAACTTTAATCATTTGCATATATACTCATGTGTATATATTCCTTTATATAGATAATTTTTTATGCACCAACCCCACAATTACACCTGTTATTAATTCCATAACATTTTTTATTACTTTTGTTGGAGATGAAACTTTAGTTTTTTTATTTATTATTTCTCACTACAGAAAAGATATCATAACATGTATTTATAAAATTT